GCTTTGATGCTTTTTGCAGAGCATGAAAAGAAAAGCTTGTAGCAGAGCCTCTTTCTGGGGCTTCTGCCTGCTGCATATCGCACATTTTTTAATTTACCATGAACCTTTTGACCTGTACAGAGTCGCAGGCTTCTATTCATTGTTCCAGTTTTCAAAGTTTCAGGAAGATGAGTTGAAACCATGCATTTTTCTCAAACATGCACGGCTGTCTTTTCACAGCAATAAACCCTTTCAGTTCATATTAGCAGTGCAAACGGTCTGCTGTTCAGCCCTGTGCGACGACCTAAATGATCCAGTGGAAATGCAGTTAAGAGATTATTTTGAAAATCTTGCACGCTGCCAAAAATCAGTGTTGTTGTTTGTAATGCTCTGATAATCATTCTGGCCATTTATATTTCTGGCTACTTTCACAGTTTGACCGTGAGACTCTGATGATTTCCATCTTTAACATCCTTCAAAATAATGACAGAAGGATACAGGGGAACGTTTATCATAAAGGGGTTGAACGGCAGTCAAAGTGGAATTCAATAATGAAAATGTTAAAGACAAAAGTCGACAGCAGGATTTCTTGAGCCTCTTTGTGTGCGGTGAGAGGAGAGAGACGTGACAGGCACTGACCAGCGAACAGAAGGGGGGAAAGCAGCTTGAAACTGTGTCGTGTCGGCTCCGGCTGTAAAGTAAAGCCAAAGAGTTTGCTTTTGTCTGCAGGGAGTATGTCTGCTCTGGGACGAGAGCACTCTCGCTCCTCCAGTCGGAGTCTCTGAGGGCTTCTGCTGCAGCCCAGAGACACAGCGGGCTAATTGACGAGTGCCGAGCTTTGTTTTGTCTTGGCACAGTCGCAGCAGTGCTGACTTAATGTTGCCAGCGGACAGATGGCATGCCACGGCACTCAATGGCCAACACTCCCCATACACTAGTTAGGGTCCCTCTGATCTCAGCACCCCCACCTCCTCCATCCATCCCACTGCATTAGTCACTGGGTCCAAACCGATAATCTGCAAAGAGCTTCTCAATACCCCATCTTCAAGAGACAGATGACAGTTTCTTCTCACCACATCAAGGCTAACAAAGCCTCAAAAAAAGTCCTTTTTCCAAACCAAATCTAACCTCACGCTCTTTAATTTACATTTATACGCTCGCCGGGTGTGAAGAGGACCTTAGAGCTGGACTCACATGTGTGGGCTTAATTCGTAGAAGTTCCTGTTGCGATACTCCTCTACTTTCTCTGGTGTGTAGATGGGCAGGGACCTGTAAGGGTTCATGGAGATCACCACGCTGCCAATGTATGTCTGAAGGGAGAAGGAGAGACAGAAAGCATTAGCACCAATCCACAGGTTACTTTCTCAGTCTGCACAGCTTAACGCCGCCGTGCAGACGGGCAGTCTCTGAATCAAAGGGACGGGAATTCTGCTAATGTCAGCGTTTCTCAGACAGGTATGCTTAATGAAAGCTCGTGATGTGTGAAGTAAAGCTGAAGACGTGTGAAAACAAGGAGAAAAACACGTTTGTGGGCTGAGCAGAGTCATTTAGCTTTAGTGCCCATGCTGCCATACAAGACAAGCCTGGAACAGCTGCCGGGACAAACAAAGTCCAGATGAGACAAACTTCCTGCTCAGATATTACAAAAACATCAGTCACCTGATATCAAAGGAAAATGCAAGAACATCCAACCTCAGTCATTTTTATTAAATCAAAGAAAATCAGTGTTTTATACAAAATGGAACAAATTCATGTAACATCCAAACAAGTCCAACAAATCACACTCATCAGAAATGTCTCAAAGCGAACGCAACCGGCTATCATCTCCATCATCATCCTCCTACACGGCAAACAGAACCTTTCAAGCATCAACCTGAAACATTTTCTCTGCTCTCTATGGTAATGGCGGTTGCATAAGCCACTCTGACGAGAGCGGAGCACGGCCTTCCCTGTGGCAGCACCGCAGCCTCCCACTGCCTCTCGTTCAATAACACACCAGAGGCGGCACGAGTGCAGAGGATGTGCACAGAGGCAACGAGAGCTGCAAATGTAAACAAAAAGTCACGTGTTCTGAGCAAAGGCAGAACACGCGCGCACAAAAAAGCATTAAAAACCTGAAACTTTTTTCCCCACTCGGCCTTTTCAAGTCATTAAATAAATCACAACTTGAGAGGAGCTTCATGCTTCCTCGTGGTTCAGCTCACACATCAGAAGATGTACGAAGAGCTTTGAACTGATGGGACTAAAAGTTCCCGTCACCCCACAGTGTCTGCTGTGTTTGTCCCGGGATGAACAGCAGGGCATCTGCTCCTACGTAGTTTCCTTTTTATAAATACTAAGACCTCGATGAAGCCAAAGACATTCACGCTCCTCTTCGACATGAAGCTTTGTTTCATTATTTTGGAAAACCTGAAAACTTTTTTTTTGCAGCTGCACTTTGCTGGAGATGCTTTTTTACTTTCAGGCAACAGTTTGTTTCTTTAACGTCGTCACGCTGAAATCCTCAGTCAGCCTTCTGGAGACTGGGAGTCGTCATGTCCCCAACTATATCCCCTTAGCATAACACTCCCTCCTCCATTTCTACAAGTGGGAGTACTGGCCAACATACTGGACCTCCATCTCCTTCACATCTGACTGAACACGGCATGCTGCACATCCGGTTTCTTTTTGTGGGCTTTTGGAAAAGTTTTATCTTGTATGTTTGTGCCAAAGATCAAGCAAGACGTGATTCTTTTATGTTATGCAATGTCCTTCACACTGCATGAGCTGTCACAGAAACCGTGATTTCCTCTAACGACGCCTGTGCCGAGGCTGATTTTCAGAGCTCGATTGTGTGGGTAGCTCACCATCTGTAGCGTCTTTTCAGAAGGATGAAAAATGCAGCTCTGATTAGTGGGACAGCGGTTTGCTCTGTACCTCCTGATTACTGTCGTACCTGAGCCCGTGGTGATTTTCAGTTGGTAGCACATCTTCCTGCATCTTTTGATGTCTCTGACGATCCTTTTCAAAGCCGAGCTGCGATGCAGAAATGCAGAACGACGCAGGCCCGGCGTTCGCAGGTCAGGTTTATAACCACATCGATCCATTAGGTAAACTAGAACTCGCAGGCTTTTTCAGATTCGTCTTAACGATCACGGGGTTTCTACTTTCTAGGCGTGGCTGTAGCTCAGGAGGCGATCGGAGGGTTGGTGGTTCGATCCCTGCTCCAATCTGCATGCCTGCAGATTTTTTACATATATATACACTTTGGTGTTGTTCATGAGATGAAGAAAGTAGGATGTGTGCACAATCAAGACACTGTATGAATTTCTTTATCAATAAATCCACACGCAAGGAAAAGACGCCATCACATCTAATCAAGTTATTGTGTATGAAAGTCTTCATGGTTCCTCTGAGCCACACGGGGACATTTTTCCACAGTTACAGACGCATGATGTGCTGTCCCTCTGACAGACAAAGCCATGTTTCTTCTGCTACGAGCTGTCATATGATAGTTTGGTGTGGGGGATGGGCCCGTTTGTAAGGAATGATGCCACATGAGGGAAAATACATTTGCAAGCAAGGACTGCACACCGCAGATTTATTGGGTAAGTACAGGTTTTGGTGCTTCTCCTGGTCATCGCTCTTGAGGTGCAGCTTTAGCAGATTTAGGGCTATGTGATTTACCTTTCCATAAACAGTCTATTTTTATTTGCCAGGCTAATATTGCATATATGAAGTGGGTTTAACTACTGTAGCCACATCATTTAGGTAAGCACCACACAGGGAAAACCTGAGTTTATGGTTTCAAAATGTCACCACAAAGGCTTCATCTTCAGATCACAAAAATCACAGTAACTTTTTTGAATCTAATTATTTTGCAGAAGAAGGACGATTAGCGGACAAAGCATTTAAAGGTTAGGGTGGCAGCGATATCTACTGAACTTTAACGGTTTCCAATCTTCACTTTTGGATGAATTCTATTTTCTCTTCCTTGGAGTGTGAGAGGAATACATAACTCGAGATGTAACTCACTACTTTTCACATTAAGTAACTTAATGACAGCCGGTCATTCCTTCCTTCATTCATCTCAGGTTTGAGTTTCTCTTCATGGTTCTTTAGTTTTACAGCCAGCTAACTCAGGGGTGGGCAACTCCAGGCCTCGAGGGCCGGTGTCCTGCAGGTTTTAGATGTGTCCTTGATCCAACACAGCTGATTTAAATGGCTTAAATTAGCTCCTCAACATGTCCTGAAGTTCTCCAGAGGCCTGGTAACGAACTAATCATTTGATTCGGGTGTGCTGACCCAGGGTGAGATCTAAAAGCTGCAGCACACCAGCCCTCGAGGCCTTGTTGCCCAGCCCTGAGCTAACTGCACTCATGGTGTCACAGCTCAGTGTTACACACAGGTAGTAAAATCCCATTTAGCTCAAAAAGCGCACAACAGCTAATCAAAGTCGAACTAAGCGACGTCTCCTGGGAATACAATGTTAATGATGAATAGCAGAGGGAAGAAAACAAAGACAGCAACAGATCCTCAGCTTATCAGCGTGAGGCAGTACCGTGCATTTACCCAGGACGTCCTCACAGCTCCGTGTTCACAGTAACACTCTGGTGTTTGTATGCAGGGGAACGAATATGAAGAAAACAAACAAACAAAACAGGGAACTTCCAACTTCTTCACCACTGACAGAGCTGAAGAAGAGCATTGAGAATAACCAGACATATTCTTCACACTGAGCATGGCCGCCATCCTACAAAGCAGAAGAATCGCTGCCACAACATAAAGCCCAGAACCAATTGTCTGATACGGTGGATACACTTCAACAATCCCCTTCTTCTACAGATAAGTCGTCAGCTAGACTGCCGGGCCTTCCTTCCTCCTAAGCTCTGGATTTCAGGCCTCATTTGAGGGCACCGACTACATTCCTCCGTGATTTGATTTATTGATTGGTTTCTTACTGCGGTCTCTGTTTCTGTACTACTTGTATAGCCAGCACTGAAATAAGTGAAGCATGGGAGGAACAATAGAGTTATGAAAAGTATCTGTGCATTTCCTAGGAGAAGCCTTCTGCAGCGTTCAGAGCGAGAGAGTGAAGCAGTGTTGTTGCTCTGCTACCGAGCCCGTCTTTTTCTCCACGTTATCTGAAGTCAGTGTTATTAAGCCTCGTTGATGTAGGAAGCAGCAGACTTACATAGATCTCACTGTGGTCAAAGCGCTTCTTCAGGTTGCCAAGGAAGGAGTCCTCAGAGAGGGGCTCCAGGAGGACCATGTCGCCGACCCCAATCATATTGTCTAGAAGTGACGTCTTCACCTCCATCTTGGCTGTAGTCGTCCCCCCCTGCAAGGATATAAGGAGGAAACATACATTAGAGACTCATTTAGAAAAAGGGGAAGGCTCTGGAGTAATCCTGGGGGGCCTTTATATCGTAAAGTGTGCATGAAGCACAGAACTGCATGTTTTATATGGAAGAAAAAGCACAGAATGCATCAGCCTTGTGTCTCCTATCAGATCCTTTTTTGTCTTTGTGTGCATCACGTTCCAGCAAACTCGTCAGAGGCGTCCTCTCGTTAGAAAACAAACAGTCCTAAACTTAGCCAATGTAAATAAACTCAGTGCAGGGGTGCACATGTGTGGAAGGCAAGAGTTTGCCTCCAGAGGCGGAGCGGGGCCTTTTGATTGGCTAATAGGTCTCCTTCTCCCCTGTGGCATGCGAGAATGTCCCATAGAAACTTACATAACTAAGCAACTTTGCCCCTGACTTGTGGGTGTCTGCTCAGCTGGAGTCTCCTCCTGTTTCGGGGTTTCGTACGAGTCCCATGAACTCCACTGGAGAATTGTACTTTTCTCCTGTGCTGCTTTGCTTGCTGTGATATAATATTCGGCTGGAAAAGAGTCCCGGCTGTGACAAAGACAGTGCTGCGGCTGGCAGTTTTCAGTCCAGTCTCCTTTGGGAGAGTAATCCCAACGCCATAGGGCTGGAGATAAAAGAGGGGCCTGGGATGCATTCAGGGCTTTGCTGCACCAAAAACCTAATGTCTGCTGTTGTGACAGGCTGCCCACACAAGACCAATAGATGAGGCCATGCAGTCGTCTATTGTTCGCCGGTAGGACAGGCGTCTCTTTCTGAATAGTCAGAACGGATCGTGCTCTGAAGCAAATGAAAATATGACAGGGGCATAATGCACTGTGATGTTTTAGACAGCATTGGGAATGAAGGAAGTGTCGTGGGTGGCAATCAGAAGCAGCCCGAAAACGAGGCGACGTCTGACATTCAAAACACAGAAACAATATCGTCGTTCCTCACGGACACAGACGCATCTTCGACCGTGGATGCGATACGTGACTGGAAACTGTTGGAGAAAAGGAAGGGGCGGATATTTCACCAAAAAAGGAGGAAAAAAAGGTTTTTCAGCTGTCAAACCGACTTTTAGCTGCAGCGTAAGAACAGCACGACTTTCTGGAAAAAACTGGAGACTTCTATTTCACTTTTTCCCTGGCTTGTGTTCCCCCGCAGGGCACACTATTATTGGCCCATAAAGAAGCTGCCCAGTTCTTAGCAGCAGGCAGGAGTCTGTTTCCAGCAGCACTCGCTCTCACACTCAGCACGGAGACAACTTTTAAAGACTGAAAAGAAAAAAAACGATGATGGATGAAAAATTATTTAGGAAACCAAGACATTTGAAATGTCTAATGATGTCATCAACCCCATCTCGGTTTAGCAGGCTCCAGTAAGGGGAGAAATATGTGATTACTTAAGTATATATATTTCATAAGTAGGTTACTTCCTCTTGGCCTGATGGCCTCGTGCCAAAGCAGCCCCAGTGATGGCTCGAGTCGACCAGCTGCTCGAGTGGTTTGCAGCGCACTTTAAAAATATAATTACTTACATTTGAAACAGTTGCAAAATTCTTTGGAGGCATGAAAAACAGCAGTCAGTTGTTCTGTGATCTCAGCCCATATGCTGCTTATGTGTAGGACTTTATAATGCAGCCGCTCTGCTGCAGCACTCGGTGCTTTTCAAATCAATAAATATCATTTTGGATCATTTCAACATTTCAGAGAGGAGCAGACTTCCTAAAGGCTGCACGTGTAAATAAACCAAAGTTTACAAAACACCTAATAGCTCCTCTGTAATTACTGAGCATCCAGAGCATCGGGGATTTTGTACTAGCCTGCAACAATCAATATTAGTCAACCCAATTACACCAAACCAGTTAAATACTCATCTACTGCAAACTGATTGCCCGGTCGGTCATGGCAGCGAGTGCAAAGCCACGCCACACTGAAAGTCTGCTACTAAACACGAGTGTTTAAAGCAGGGAGCTTATTCGTTCTGAGCAAAAGCAGATTCTGACGCCTCGTGTTGACCTGGGAGATAAAGCTGCCCGAGTGCCAAAAATGTGGCATCTGTCTGCATCTTGGACATCCTCGGCTGATAACCCACTACCCCACATTTAGAAGTAGCTTCCAGGCAGCCTGTGACAAAAATCCCATTAATGGGAATTGCTGCCTGCTGCTAAATGTTGTACTACATCCAAGAGAGGGAGAATGAGAGAAAACCTGACGGCTTTGATTAAACTCTTGGGATTATCCTTACTGCTGTGTGGGAGAGAAATGGGGGATAAAACTTCTATCATCTATACTGATAAACACGAAAAACACTGACTTTTGTGGTTTGTCACAGATAAAGGGCAAAAAAAAAAAAGAAGTTTTTTAAAATTGTGGTTGATATAAACACACTGATTTAATCAGCCTAAACCTGAATGACCTCGTATTAACCTCTGCCAATTTCCTCGGAGTAACCAGATTAGTAGTGCCCGGCTTTGTCACTCTCTCTCTCTCTCTGGTGCTTTTTGAATTTTGCATGTTGAAGCATCAAATGCCCCGGTATGGTTTAGCTGTCATTCATCTCAAATCTAGATCAGCGATGCAGCAAGGCTGTATCTCACAGTCACCTTTACTGAGCGCGCTCACACTGGCACAGCGCCTGTGTGCAGCACGTGGCTGTGATTACACATCATTTCAATTTGGCGTATTACACCAAAAACATCAAAACTTAAAGTCTCCCACGGTTGGAGCTCAGCGAGGACGTTACTGCAGATGTAACACGAGGACTTTGAGTGCTTTGCTAATTGAAGCATAATAACCACTTTTTACTAAAACTTCTCGGGACGGCGATGTTTCATGACTCGTCATCAGCTGTCGGTGACGTGCTGCAGACTCAAAGCCATCCAGCGGCACTGCCTTAACCCCTGCTTGTTAACGCAGCCTGAAGCTTGATGTGCAGAGCAGATAGAGCACACCCACGACTCCGGGCCGCCTCTGACACAACTCTCAGAATTAATTTCTAAATCAGAATTTCATCAACGAGTCCATCAGATTAAAGTGCTGCATTAAGAAGGAGCAAAGTGTCTGTACAGAAAAATAAAACACGTGAGAGATTTTATCATCTGAGATCTGATAGTAATGGATGCATGTCGCAGCAATAATATGAGATGTGCTCTACTTTGTGCCTCTGACATTGACCTAGATTTCTCAGTCAGATCACGCTATGGGGGAAACACGAATACAAAAATCACCATTAGAAGTACATTTAATATTTACAGGTCCTGATGTTCTTTCTGCCCTTCAGAGAGGAAAACGAGTCCAAACAAAGGTCAACAGCCGTGCAGGCACTCACAGGCATGCACAACACAAATAGTGACAACGCTGGAGACGCAGCGGAGCCAGTGAACTCGCTGCTGAGAAACCTGTAACGGTTTTGAAAATGTCAGTATTTCCAGGACAGTCGACCAATTAGGCTCTGCATTGTGGCCTCTGATATAATCGCAGACACGGGTCTCGTGACGCTGCCTTTGGAGCAATTGTTTGGGAATAGAGTGGCATTGAACAGATGATAATAAACATCCATTATGCAGCATAATACTCTGTAAAATTTCCCGCAGATCAGTCCAGCTTTGTCACAGAAAAGTCACAACATGGCACGCTGCTGCCGCTGATGCAGATTAAAGCCCTCCCTAATGGAGCAGCAGCGTGGCATGGAGCCGTGCCAGAGAGCAGGGCAGGACAATGCAGCGAGGGTTACAGGAGCTCAACACAAGCAGCTGCCTGGAAACTGAACTGGAATTCCTGGGTCCCCAACACTCCAGGTGCAGATCTGTGTGAGGAAAGCTCGGCACGCCGACGGCCCAGAGCCGCTGTGACAGCACAGACGCTGAAACTGAACCTTACACTAGATGATAAACAGGAGATCTCACACAAATGTGACCCCATTAGCTCCGAACGCACAATCCAGGTCCATCAAACATGAACCTGCAGCACACACACAAATGCTGTTCTTTATTTACAATACAGCCCAAAGTGCAGGCAGACATGAGGACGTTCAGTCAGGCAAGAAGCAGGCAGTATCTGGAAATCAAGATGACAAAGTATTACACAATGTTTACTCCACAAACCCTGAGAACTGGAGGAGTCAGCTTCTTCTTATGAGCAATGGGGCTTCACATGTTCATGACACAAGCAGCCAAAGTTCTGGTAATACCACGAGAGACTTCCTGAAATTGGGGTTTTGCATTCATTTGCTGTGATCTCAGCCCCACTGAAATTTTCTTTCTGTTGTACTTAAAGTTATTTAAATAAGTCTGTGCAGCTTGCACAGCTTCCAAACTTCCCAACGAACCATCTGTAAGCTTGGAAGCTCAGCTCGTTTATTAATGAGACAATACGCTCACACAGCTTAAACAGAAGTATCTGCAACATTCTCCGAGAGGTCGGAGTGTCTGGAAATCATTATTCATTTTTATTCCAACAGAGAAGCTAAGATAAAAGTAAACGGTGCAGATAATAAGCTTCGATAGAGGACTTTATTCAGTAGTTTCTGCTCCTTCAAAAGGTCAGCGCTGCAAGAGCTCGGTGTGACTCACACACAGTGCACTGACCAGGTGAAGCGGACCAGCCTTTACAGACCATTTCAAATTTCATCACAAGAAAAATGGCAGTTACAACCGAACTAAACAACACAGAGCACTGGCATCCTATTATCTTACTTTTTTTCACTGATTGTACTTACTGTATTTTTGTATTTCCTTCTGATATCTTTACCTGAGCTGAGGTGACGCAAAAATTTCCCCGTTGTGGGATCAATAAAGTCTTATCTTATCTCTTATCTAACTTTATCCACTCTAATGTTTACTGTGTTTAGTTGTGCTTAGTGCCAGCGTGACTGTGCAAGGACAATAAAAAGTTATCTTATGATGGAGCAGATTTAAGATTTTCTACTTTCTGCATTTATTGTGATCAACTACTGTTACTTTATCATCAGGGTTAAACCTCAGCGCGAGCACTCAATCAGTATTGAAATAAGCGCTTCTGGGCATTAAATAAAAGCGCACAGGAGAACGGCAGCACTTTCATATACCGTCCTGCAGGCTGCTCTGAGTTAGCTGCTTTAGTGTTGTCTGCCTCCCTTTATAATAAGAGAATGGGGAAAGCAGCTGCAGCGGACTTGATGAAGCGGTGAGAAATAAAAACGTATGGCATTATTACTCTGGCTCCTCCGGGAAACTGAGGAAGTGAAGTTTGAGCCGCGAAGTCAAATGGGTGGAAAGTTCTCAGAGCTGCACGGCACTGAGAATAGTTCTTTGTTAGGACAGTAAACTCAAGATGAAGTGTGAAAGAAAAAACCTCCCCACCTAAAGCAAAACTGGGAGAAAAATCACAATAATGGGCTTCCAATTTGTCACCATGCTGATGAGGCCGTGACGTGGATGTGGAACTTTTAATGCTTCAAGCGTTCAGATCCCCACCCTGCACGAGAGGCTGCTGAAGGCAGCGGAGCATGCAGGCCTCCCTCTATCACAGCTGATGCATGGTTAACACAAGCACACGCCACACTACACCGGGTTACACAGGCAGGGAAGTGTAAACACCATTCATTACCATGGCGCTGGCTGGGGGACTTTGAACTGCCATCCATTCTGCATTAGGCCACAGCATCCCGCCCCACAGTGTTCATAAAGAGGCTTTTGGCACATGTTGCAAAACTGTGGCAACTTGATGCAAGCTGCCCAACAAGCTCACGCTGAGCAGAGCTACTCCAACGGCCGACGCGCAGCCCTCTTCCAGCTGAGCTAAACGGTTGTTACTTTTCTTTCCAGGAGTCTTTCTTGCAGCTCTGAAGGCTTACCACACACTACCTCTCACACTCAGCTTACATCACTGTTTGTTTGATCAGTGCGGGTAATAAAGTTCCCATCTGGTTTCCCAACTGAGAATCTGGCCAAAAGAGGTGGGACATATTTGTGGCAACCCACAAAGGGAAAGATACCAACTTTTTTTTTTCTTCTTCTTCTTTTAAAAGGTCTTATCTGATCCTCTTGGGACACCAAGTTCACCAGTGGAATTAGGAGTTGGGAAAAAAGAAAAGAAAAGACGGGAATTAAAAACAACTTTGCATCAAAGGCAGTGAAGCAACAGTTGCTCATTGTTTGGACTTGACTGTTCCATTAACACTCATTTCCAGCTTCTGTGGCACTGAACACTATATTTACAGATGTGCTAAGGGAAGCAGCACCCCAAGCAGCTTTTCCCCCTAAAGCAACTGTTTTTTCCTTCCTATGAGGTATTTCGCTTCTTCTACGAGTTCCAGGCTGGTTCCCAACCCACAGCAGACTCCGGCACAAAACAAACACTTTGTCCAGGAGGAACTTTGGGATGTTCCTCAGAGACGACTTTTATCCATGCTGAGCAGAAATGTTTTCCAGTCAGCAACATTTTGATCTCTTGAAACCGGGGGCGCACTGAGGGCTAAGCCCACCTTCACCCACTTTATCCAGGATTTAATCTCGCATTGATCCGTCTCTGTATACCTTTAATCCAGGTATTTCCACAGATCATAGAGCGGGGCAATGCAAGGATATTTTAATGGAAAAAAAAACTTTAAATGATTCCAGAGTTTCATCGTCCTCTGCATGGGTCATTAAATCTGCCATTTCACACACAGAGCTGAGCGTTTGGTGACAGCAGCACCTGAAAACGCTCGTTTGGCGCTTGCTGTCCTCTGGTTCAGGGTCTGCAGTGGGTTTCTGGCTCCGCTCAGCCACAAAGACGGTTCTTGCCCACAGATGTAGGCAATTAGCGACAACGGTTTTCAGGAATACTGCTGAATGAGCCGCGGTTTGCAGCAAGAAAGAGACATTAAACGAAATCCCTCCTGCGCTTTCTCCCCCAAGTCATAGAAAAGTAAGAAACACACAGAGAGAAAGAGAGAAACGGACACAAAAAATAAAAACGTATATATTTATCCCCCAACCCCCTCCTGTACGGAGAGGGGAGGAATGAATGAGTTGGGAAGCAGGCGATCTAAAGAAATGGAAAGTTAACTTTTGAAGAGTTTCCGAAAATGTAACAGCGATAAACCAGAGCCAACGGAGAAGAAAAAAGCTTTACACTTCCAGAACAACTTACCGCTTTACCTCTGTGGAAGTTGCTCCCTCTTGTCCTAAATCCACTCCACGGACAAGAAAAAAAAAAGATCCCGGGATGATTCTCCAAGTCAGGAGAGGCTCCTGAAGCCCTTCCCTGCTGTCTTTGGGTTAACTAGTGTCTGCCTGTGTTGGATGAGGCTGGAAGAGGCTCTCATCCGAATCTCAGCACTTTGAATGGAGCTCTGATGGACTTGAGAGCGCAGAAACTGCCGGGCGTAGGGAGTGGCTGGAGAGGCGGCTCTGGGCTAGTCAGCTCGTCCAGTGAGTCCCCTAATCACCTCCAGCGCTGGGGAGGTGGTGCCTTCAGGTGTCGTCGGAAACAATGCCACTTCATCTTTTGTCCCCACACATAATAGTTTAACGAAACATCCAAGTCAGAAAGCAAACAGCGAGCTGCTTCCTCCTCATATTTACTAACTAAACATTCAGGCAACGTGAGCTGTTTTAACTGCTCCATGACTCCTGTGCGGAGGAAAGAGGCGGTTTGCTGCAGAGACATTGAGCCTTGGAAGAATTTTAAAAAAGTAAACTGGACTTTGATTGTTTAAAAGTGAACTTTCATTATGCGGTATTATGATCTGTTAAATTATTCTCACATAAGTAACTGTAAAAAGGCGAACTGGTTAGGTTATAGTTGGCCAAACTTGTTTGAAGAAGTTCCCACACGACTTTGGGAATATAACCAAGATTTACGAGGTGAGTGTGAAGCAACATTAAAGTTTTCCTTCATCGTTATATATAGACAGACACTCCATCCACCCGACAGCACAATACCCCCCTCCTGTGTCTTAATACTACATAGCAACGACGATTTGACGAGCTTTTAATGAAACTCTGGGCCAAGTTTAATGGTTAAAGTCGCTCTCTGTGCACAGGAAACTCATATTTGTGATTTTGTTGGGGGGTGTTTGTCTCTTCTTGTACTGATTTACAGATTCGGACTTTACGGTATTTGGTGTTTAAACCAGATTTTCTTTTAAATATCACTCACTCCTGCGTTGCATCCAGAGAAGACCTGCAGTATTACTGCATGTTATTTATTTGGTTTTAACCGCTTAAATTTCGCTCTTCAGTCAAGTGTGGCGACCCAAATAGACTGCGTTAGTGCGCACGCGCGGTTACGTCTACAGCTTCCTCTTCCCTAGAACTGGTTGTACTGGAGTCCAGTTATACTAGTTTCTTTGTCACGGACTGTTTTTGTTCTTAAAGAGGATTTCGGTGAGTTTCTGACTAATTTTTTCTCTTTGTGGAGCCGAGCGCTGCTCGCAGTGGTTCAGTTTACTGCGACACTGCGGAAGGAAATTCCAGGAAAATGGATTATAGTTAGCAGCAAGCTAGCACTGCCCCAGTGTTATTGTGTTATCTGAAGTCAGATATCCAGAGTTGGCTCGCTCGGCTTTGATAAATATAGACTGTCACAGCTGGCCTTTTTTGGGGTGATATTTATAATATGTACAGAGTAAAGTGCTGTTTTTATAGATTCGTATCATGACAATGAACGAAGGTAGACAAATGTCCTCGTATGGTGCTGTGCATGCACTGCTGCTCGTACATTTAGCACGCGTGGTGACGTGGACGATGCTAATAAGGGTGGTTACCGCTAACATTTATGGAAAATAGCATTGCTGTTTATACCTGTATGAGTATATGTGTGTGTATACATCCCCAGGGGTGAAGGCTCATACCAGCCTTTCCCTCCCAAACAAATAATGGGGGTGGCTAACATCTGGCTTGTTTCACGTTGCGCTCCCACATGCACACACCATTTGTATGATTCATGCAGATTTGATTATGCATGGGTGGAACTGTGCGGACGGATCCCATTGTTGTTTCCTCACCCTGAGCTCATTTATGTTTTTCTTGCAGAGTGTTTTTATGAGTAATCAAAGGCAGCAGAAGCCTACGCTAACAGGCCAGCGTTTCAAAACTAGGAAAAGAGGTGAGAAACCGCCGAGCATCACTTTGTTTTGGTCACATTAAACACAGGTGGTTTCATCAGGATATACAGATCACGCCCGGCTGTCCTCCCTGTAGCTTTTCATGCTACCAGCAATGGAAAAGCACAGATTGTGAAATCCTGGATTGACGCCAATCTTGATGCCATAATTAAAACAAAAAAATCTTGCAAATAACCAATGCCAATTTTCAGTTCTGATTCAATTCTATTCTATTTTATTTATATAGCACCAAATCTCAACCACTTAGTCTTTGACTTACAAATATTGTCAAAGACCCTACAATAATGCAGGCCGGCAGTACCAAAAATTGCCTGTTTTTAATCTTTTACATTCTCTGCCAACGTTTTGTAACTGGGAACAAATACTTAATATGAAAAAAAATATATGTAGTATTTAAAAGACTTTTGGCTCTTCATCATGCCAAAAATCTGAACTGAGTCCCCCTTTTTTCTTTTTTTAAATGAAATCTAAGTTCAGCTTCACTAGCCACACCCACACTGCCAGATCTGCTGAACCAAGAAATCATTTAATGGATTGCATTTATATAGTTTTAAATAACTTTTCATTTCGAGACCCTCAAAGCGCTTTACAATACCACTATTCATTCACTCACATTCACACACTGGTGGAGGCAGCTACAGTTGTAGCCACAGCTGCCCTGACAGAAGCGAGGCAATCAGCCCCTCTGGCCATCATCAGTAGGCGGTAGGTGAAGTGTCTTGCCCAAGGACACAACGACCGAGACTGTCCGAGCCGGGGCTCGAACCGGCAACCTTCCGATTACAAGACGAACACCCAACACCCAATTGGGCGATCGTGGCTCAAGCACGATCGCCCACCACTCATTTAAATAGAAGCTGTCTGGTAAGTGAAGCAGGTTTAAATAAAAGAACAGCACATTATGCCATGAGCTAAAGAAACAGCTGAAAAACAAAACATCTATCAGGCTGGAAAAGGTTACAGAGACGTTTGTAAGGCTCTTGGACTCAAGTGAATCACAGTGAGAGCCATCAGCGACGTGAAGAAAACCTGGAACCGTGGTGAACCTTCGCAGGAGCAACCGGCCTACCAAAACGTCTCCAAGAGCACATGAGCGATTTATCCAGGAGGTCACAGACAAACCCAGAGCAACATCTAAAGAACTGCAGGCCTCACTTGGCTCAGTTACATCTGATGTAAAACTGAAGCTGTTTTCATGCTTTATTTTTTGGCCTTTGAAGTTTTTTCATGGCCCTCCCGTTTTGGGTGAACTCTGGTTTTGCTCCTTGCTCTGTTCCATCACACTTACGTCACTTAGTTGCTTACGTCATCCAGTCCTCCAGGATCTTGGATGACCGCACAGACGCACATCTGGGGTGGGTGAAAACCCCTCTCCCCCTCTGTCCTCTCAGAATCATGTTCGCGGGTGGAGACATAAAACCAGCCTAACACAGCATTTCATGAAAACAACGTCATCCCTACAGTCAGGCGTGGTGGTGGGAGTGTGATGGCATGGGGCTGCTTTGCTACTTCAGGACCTGCTCAACTGATGGAACCACGAGTTCTGCTCTCTACCAGAAAGTCCTGAATTATTACATTCAGCCACTACTTCATGCCCTCAAGCACATTTGTGTTATACACAAGGACAATGATTGAAAACGCACCAACAAGTCCAACTGGCTCGAAAAAAGTTTTTTTTACAGCCTCCAGCTAGAGAGAGAAATATATTTTTAAAAATGTGTGTCTGTTATTTATTGACTCCAAATTTGTTGTGGATTTAAGTTAGACATACTTTTTAAAGTAAGTTATCTCCATAGTGGGAGTTAAATTATGGAACAGTCTAACATAAGAAATAAAAGTAACAACATATACCAGTTTAAAATAAAATATAAAAAACAAATTTAAGAATGAAGAAAATGGGGTCAACCCAGGACGGTAATTGTGATGATTTTTGTTTTGTTTTGCTTTTGTTTCATTGTTTGTTTGTTTAAGACTAAAAGAAAACTAAATGAATGAGATGTAAAATTTGTGGGGGTAGAGCCAAACAAGTGTATACTTCTGCCTACTCCCTTTCAAGCAAAATAATGGAATGATATCACGAAATGATGCTGAATGTTTACATTTGAAATAAAAAATGAACTGAACTAATTTGTGTTTTTGTTCTTTTTGCACAGATGAAAAGGAGAGGTTTGACCCTTCCCAGTTTCAGGAGAGCATTGTGCAGGGTCTGAACCAAACTGGCACTGATCTGGAAGCTGTCGCAAAGTTCCTTGATGCCTCTGGTGCAAAGCTTGACTACCGACGCTATGCCGAGACTTTGTTCGACATCCTGGTGGCTGGTGGAATGCTGGGTGAGTTGCAGGCATTTCTTTTAAACTTTGCATTATACCATGGTAATAAAATGTGTCCCCCAGTCGAGCGCTCTCTGGGTCTTCAGGTTAATACTGGCGTGCACAAGTGTCCCCCCCTGTTTTTGAATTGATGTCGATACAGTGATCAGCAGAGGTGAAACATGTGAAGCACCTAAGACATGAATATGTGTTTAATTTCAGCCCCCGGGGGTACGCTGTCAGATGACATGACCTGTACAGAGTTCTGTCTCTTCAAAGCACAAGAGGACATGGAGACCATGCAGGCATATGCACAGGTGAATACCACTGTGTTCAGTTCACGTTTTAATATCCATTTGTTTTTATGGATAATAAAGCAATTTTTCCCCCTTTAGGTCTTTAACAAGCTCATTAGGCGCTACAAATACTTGGAGAAGGGATTTGAAGAGGAGATCAAAAAGGTTTGTTTCTCTGCATAGCCGGGTCACGTAGGTACCTGACCTGCCTGACCGGGTCGTGGCTGAAATCTTGAGCAGTTTGTTTCAGTTTAAAATATAAAGAGTACAGCTTTGCCTCTGCTGTGGTTCAGCCTGTATGTTTACTGTTTTACAGCTGCTGCTGTTTCTCAAGGGTTTCACAGAGTCTGAGCGCAACAAGCTGGCCATGCTAACAGGGATTCTGCTGGCCAACGGGAACATCTCTGCATCCATTCTCAGCAGCCTCTTCAATGAGAATTTGGTCAAAGAAGGTACTCGGCTTTAATACTCGGTCTGTGTGCAGAATTATGTTCACGGTTTCTCTTCCCGAGCCACCATTTATCAGACATTTTAAGGACCTGTACACACACAGTGCACTGTTTGCTTTATCTGGACAGCCTGAATGCTTTGCAGGTATTAATGTAGAAGTAGCAGAGGGATGGGCAGTCATGCAAACGAGTGTTGACAGTATGTAGGCTTTCATTTTAGTCAGAGACTATGGAAAAGCCTTTGATGCCTGCAGACGTGTCTGTTTTCAGCTGCTGGGATTAATCAGGGGGAAAAATGCTGCAGAAATCTCACATTTTGCTCATTCAGCAGGGCCGAAACTCAATGAGTGGAACTAAATTATTAAACTTTCAATATTAAACATTGTCACTGCAATGTTATCCTCCCAT